AAAAGGGCTTCTTTCAACATGTAAATAGGAAGAAGAAGGGGAGACAAGTGGTGGGACCTCTAAATAAGGAGGAAGGAGATCCAGTGACTGATATGAGGGAACAGGCACAGATGCTAAATGACTATTTTGCCTCTGTGTTCTCCCCAAAGCAGGACGGGGGATATCCGCATAGGAGATTAGATGAGGCTGGGGACTTAGGGGCATAGATTAGAGTCACCCCCCTTGAAGTCGAGGGGCTCCTCAGGGCATTGGACATTACAAAGGCGCCAGGTCCTGACGGGTTACACCCGAGAGTACTTAAGAGAGTTGGCAGGGGTTCTCTCACGCCCGCTGGCCTCCATTTTTGAGGCTTCATGGAGAACGGGTGAAGTTCCAGAGGACTGGAGGGTGGCATCAGTGGTCCCAATTTTCAAAAAGGGTAGTAGAAGGGACATGGGGAATTATAGACTGGTTAGCCTTACGTCCATTGTAGGAAAAACAATGGAAAGGCTCATAATAGAGAGAGATCTAGTGATGCTAGATAGGGAAGGGAGGCTGATAGCCACACAACACGGCTTCTGCAAAAACAGGTCCTGTCAGACAAACCTTGTGGAATTCTATTACAAGGTTTCGAGATGGCTAGATGGAGGGGATGCAGTGGATGTGGTATAACTGGATTTCAGCAAGGCCTTTGACAAAGTGCCCCATGATATCCTGGTGGAGAAACTGAGGAGTTTTGGGATACACCAAAGCACTGTCCGGTGGATTAGGGCATGGTTGACTGACTGAAAGCAGAAGGTAACCATTAGCGGGGAATCATCGGGATGGTGGCCAGTGACAAGCCGGGTTCCCCAGGGCTCTGTCCTGGGTCCGATCCTGTTTAATCTTTTCATTAATGACATGGAAGAAGGGGCGAACAGTCTGCTGATCAAATTCGCAGACACTAAAACTGGAGCAGTGGCCACAACTGAGGAGCAGGTACTCCAGATCCAAAAGGATCTGGACAGACTATGGAACTGGGCAGGAGACAACAGGATGGCGTTCAATGTGGATAAGTGCAAAGTCTTGCACTTGGGGCATAGGAATAGTTGTCATAAGTACAGGTTAGGTGGTAAGTGGCTGGAGAGCAGCACTTGTGAAAGGGACCTCGGGGTACTGGTTGACTGCAGGCTAAACATGAGTCAGCAGTGTGATGCGGTGGTCAAGAGGGTGAACACCACCCTTGGTTGCATAGCCAGAAATGTGGCTTCTAGATCAAGAGAGGTATTACTACCACTCTACACAACTCTAATGTGCCCGCCACTGGAGTGTTGTGTTCAGTTTTGGGGCTCCTCATTACAGAAAGGATATAGCCAGGTTGGAGTCAGTGCAGCGTAGGGCCACAAGGTTGGTGGCCTGTTTGCAGGGGATGCCGTATGAGGCGAGACTAAGGGAACGGGGTCTCTTCAGCCTGGAGAAGAGGAGACTCAGAGGGGATATGTTGGCGACATACAGGTATGTGAGGGGGTGTCACACGGAGGTGGGTAGAGACCTGTTCTGCCCTGCAGAGGAAGGCAGGACGCGCCCCAGCGGAGCAAAGCTCAGGGAGCCAAGGTTCCATTTGGATGCCAGGAAGCACTTCCTGACAGTCAGGACCCCAAGGGCGTGGAATGGGCTTCCACGAGAGGTCGTTGAGGCCCCATTGGTGAGGGTGTTCAAGGACAGGCTGGACATCCACATGGTGGGCATGTCGTGAGCAGAGCCGGCTGGTGCCAGAGGTCAGACTAGATGGCCCGGGAGGCCCCTTCTGACTCACTCTGTTTTCTATGTTTCTATGTTTGGGGTTCTCCGGCATGTTGATATCCTCTTTCCCTTAGATCGTGCCCACAGTACAAGAGGACTCTGCAGAAAATGTCTTTGCAACAAGAAACTACCATTTCTGATGTTGTATCTCCACAATCTTTCCCAGGTTTTGCTCTTTCTCCTGCCTCTTATCACAAGTTCACAAATCATCTGAGTCAGGACACCTTCTTATTGTGTAAAGCCTTGGGTGTCGCATCCTTTTCCTCCTTAGCTTGCAGGTTGCTGGGACCATCTTTCATACCATGCACATGTTTCTGGTGCTACGCCATCGCTTCTAACCCACCCTCATTTCAAGAGGCGTCTCCAGGCATTTCTTGCACCCCCTGTGCAGCTTCTTCCTCACTCTCAGCACCTACTCAAGATTGCTGCTACTTCATGCTCTGTCCTGTTTTGGTTCTCTATCACTTTGAAGCCAGTGCTAGGTCAAAACAGAACAAAAAATGCATTTCAGGATCAGGCATTGTTGAAGAAATGTTTTAAAGGCTCATTTGAAAGCCTGAACTTAAGGGGCCAGCCTAGTGTAGTGGTCAGAGTGTTGGAGTTCTTGTTCCCACTTGTCCATGATCCTCCATAGGTAACTTTGGCCCAGTCACTGATTCTCAGCATAACCCAGCTCACAAATTTGTTGTGAGGATAAAAGGAGAGGAAGATGACCAGGTAAGCCATCCTGGATTCACTGGAAGAAAAAAGGCAGGTTATTGTACTATAAGCTGCCCAATAGCCTTACAGCTATTGGTGTAGCATACAAATCAAACTAATACTACTATTACTACTACTACTACTACTACTACTACTACTACTAGCAACATTAATTAATTAATTGAAGACAAGGGAATCCAGAAGGAAAAAGAAGAAGGAATTAAGCGGCTGCCACAGCTTTGAGGGTGCATTTTGTGTCGACTGGGTCAGAAAGATGCAGCTTGTGATTCTCGGCAGTCCCTGTTCCAGGTCATGTGGAAGGCGCTGCAGGAGCAGATGGCTTAGCAAAGGTTTATCCACCTGATGCTTTTGTAGGTGTTTGTGCATGTTACCACTGTAAGGATAGCAGTGGATCTCTTATGTTGATCTATTCTCCCATATATTTACATTCAGATTGGAAGAATTGTACAATTATGCCAAGGAAATGTTGCACCAAACTTTATGAAACCTGGTGCGACTTCCTTTTGGGAGTTCTTGTCTGCTCCTGTTTGATCTGGACTGTTTAGCTGTGGGCAGAAAGCTACTCACATAGATCTTCAACCCTGGAAAAGTGGAACATCAGGGCCTTTCCGAAAGGTTAATTTATGTACAACACACAATGAAGGTCATTGTTGCTTATTTGCTATGAAGGATTAACAGTCCAACTCTCTATATGTCTACTCTGAAGCAAGTCTTGCTAAGTTCAGTGCACTTTATTTCCAATACTATTTTCCAAAGGAGACATTTGTTTCAGTGCTTCTGTGTTTTCCCTATACCTAAACAACATATTACTGCTAGGGAGATGAGAGAGCTAACTGCAATTTCCAGCACTGTCTGAAATGTTTCATTTTAGGGCTCAGTGGATAGTAGGAAGAGACACAACCACTCCATTTTCAGTTCTAACACAAGCACTCATCCTGCACAGGAGCAACAATCCAAGTCTGCAGAATCCTTGGGTGCTTCCAGATGAAGATTTTTATTGTGCAATTAACCTGCTCATTCATAGGGTTTATGAAAGATGCAGATATTGTTGCCCACCACTTGTAACACCCTCCTGTGCTGATTGTGTACTTCTCTTGCTATTACCCTGGACTAGATATTTCACCACTGATGTTGACTCAGAAGTTCAGGATCACGTTGGCCATGTGAGCCCCCAGTCATTACTCTGCGTTCAACACAGTTCTCATCTACTACAGATGAAGGCTGTTATATAGGATATTATATATCTATATATTCTATAGGCTGTTATATATCTATAATGTATCTGTTATTACTATAGCTTAAGACTATTATTAATACACGCTTACCTGGAATGGACAGGTAAGCTCCACTGCATGATACTTACTTCTAAGTAAGCATGCATAGCATTGTGCAGCTAACAGCTTTCAATCCCCCCCTTCTATAGTAAATGCTGCACTGCATTAATCAGATCCTTATTTATTTTCTTAGGATTATTATTATTATTATTATTATTATTATTAAAACATTTCTATGCCGCCCCATTCGCCGAAGCCTCGGGGCGGCTCACAACATAAAATTAAAATACAACAAATAACAATATAAAATAAATCGTCCTGGCCAGATAAAATAAGCAAATAATATTAACAATTAAAATGGCGCTTAAATAAAAAGGTCTTCGCCTGGCGCCAAAAAACAAATAACGACGGCACCAGGCGGACCTCTTTGGGGAGTGAATTCCATAGGTTGGGCACCACCGCAGAGAAAGCCCTCCTCCGAGTACCCACCCTCCTAATTTCCTTCACGGAGGGTTCCCAGAGAAGGGCCTCTCCCGCTGATCTCAGGGGGCAACTGGGCATATATGGACGTAAGCGCTTCTTCAGGTAACCAGGACCCAAGCCGTTTAGGGCTTTATAGGTCATCACCAACACCTTGAATTGGGCCCGGACTTCAATGGGAAGCCAGTGAAGCTGACAGAGGATCTTTGAAGCATTACAACCTTTCTGAAACCCCTTTAAGCACTTCTTTCACGGTCATTCTCTTCCTGTAAGCAATGACATTTTTTAAGAACTGGAATTCGCTTTCTGTGTAGCTAATATCAAAGAGGACATTGCATAAAGGCGTTCCAAGGGAAAGAGGGCAGGAGACAGAAGAGTTGCGCGTTACTTGCTCTGACCAATCGGAGACGTCGCAAGTTGATCGACAGCTCCGTGGGCGCCAAGTTCAGTATCTTTAAAGAGCGCGGCCCTTTTAGCCAATGAGAGCGAACCCAGCGGGCAGAAAGCGCTAGTCATCCATTCCCGCGTTCAGCAACCCTTTGTTGCCTGAATGCTCGACCAATCGACGCCCGGGGAGGTGCTGCCGTTTCCCGCGGTTGTTTTTATTTTAGCATAATGTGAGCCACGGCGCAGCCAACGGCAAAGGCGCAAAGGAAGGCCCGCTTTGTGATTGGGCGGCCAGGAATTCTGGCGCCAACTTCGAAAAGCATATAAAGCAGCGATTGCAGCACAGCTTCCCTGCCTTATCGCTGCTACTCGACTATTTGCTCCACTCCTCTTTTAGCTCCGTGAACGATGCAGTCTTCCCGCAACCCGCTCTCCGCTCTCAACGAGCCTCAGCCTCGCCTCTCGCCTCTGAAGAGATTGGCTTTGAGCGAGAAGGAGAACACGGTGAGTTCAGAAAGAAGCCACAATTCTTACCACCCCACCCGGTTAGCGGAAACCGGCACGGGCAAGGCAAGGGAGTAGCCCGCAGAGTTTAGAAAGAGTAGAGAAAAAGCCTTCTCTCTGCCATCTCTCAAACTGGTATTTCCCACTTGTTAGGACTGTAACGCCTATCATCCCTAACTGCAGTCCAAATCATCCGGCAGGCTCAAGGCTGAGGGTACGGCGGAGGCCACACGCAGTGCCGCTCGAGCCCTGAACAGCCAGGGGGTTTTTTTGTTTCCTCGATCCAGTGCAATCCTGAACTTGTTGAGGCAAAAAGGCCGACACTTCCCGGCATTTCCGAGTCAGCCATCGATGTAGGTCTGTTTTTTTCAACAGGGCCAGGATCGCCTCTAAACGATTAGAGATTCTGCGCATTTGGGAAGCACTTGGAGCTGCTTCCCCGCTAAAAACCCAACGTGGGTTGGTAATGCAGGAACCATCCTGGATTTGGCCACCATTATTAGTATCGGAACTGCGCCATCAATAATGCACGGCGCTTTAAAAAGCTCACCTATCGATACTGCAAGTTATCAATATTAAGTATTAACGTTACTGAGCAGGTACCACTGTTATTAAATGTTAACTGAATACTATCGTTCGGATATCCATATTAAATATCAACTATACATTATTGAACCAATATCAGCGTCATAACTGGTATCAGTACTGTGCCATGGGGGAGGGGGAGCGCATAGCGCTCTGCAAAGCACCGGCCTACCTAGGAGCAAAGCCAGAGGCCGAGCTGGGATCCGGCCCTGCGGGTTCTGCCCCAAGCCTGTTGCGCTGACGGCTCTTTTGTACTTCCCTTCCCCTCTGCCCCGCGTTCCGACCCCTCTCCCTCTCTCCCCGCAGCCCCCGTCACTCAACGCCACCCGGGTCCTTGCCCACAAAACGGCGCGGAAGATCTTCCAGGAGCCTGCGGCTGCCGAGGCGGTGAGTACCGGTTAGCACGGGGGGGGTGTGAGCGGGGTGGAGCTGGCGGGAGAGAGGTCCCTGGTGCGCGCCGCCATCCGCTCCGGGGCTGAGTCAGAGGGCGGGGCTGCGTCGTCTTCCCTGCGGCTTTGGCGCCGAAGCCCGGTTATGCAAGGAACAGGAAGGCCCGGTCTTCTCTGGAAACGGATGGGGTAGGCCTAGATCGGGTGGGGGAGAGGACTGATCCCTGCCCTTTTGAAGTGCCATCATAGTTTAAGTTGACTGTCCAAGCTCATCTGCACTTCCTACTCTGAGCCTACTCTGAAGTACGCACCACTTCTTCCAGGAACCCTCCTCTAAATCATTTTTTAATTTTGATGTCTTGTATCATTTCTATATCTAAGCAAGTAAGGGTTGTGTGCAGTGTTGGCCTTTTTGGTCATATCCAATGTTTCCCTTCTAGCAGACCTATTAAAATGAATGGGACTTCAGCTAGACCTGCAGGTGAAACAACTTACTATGAATAGTTTCCTGCTTACATTTATATAAAGCATTTTCACTTAACTTTGACAAAATGCTTTCAAAGACCTATAGTAAAACAGCCCCTATTTTCAGGCTTGAGACGCACATAGCAAGGAAAAGGGTTGAGCGGCATGTGGGAGGGAGGAAAAAGGTAGCACACTCAGCTGTTCTTCAGGTCCCTTTTGTGCCTAGCTCAGATGGATATTTCAGGAACTTGGATGGAATGGCAGCTTTTAGGTAACAACTGGGGAAGAGCCTGATGCAACTGGTTTCTCAGATGGGGGAACAGCGTGCACTTTGCCAAGTGTACACCCTGAATGCCCTCTCTGTCTTTCACATACTTGTATGTACCTTTCCTCCATGTATTCACATGTATACATATACAAATATCCCTTCCTTTCCTCCTTACTGCAAGCACAGGAAGATCAGTTTTTTCAGGACCCCATCTAAATCCCTCCTAAGCACCTTCTCTTTATCAGACATGCAACCCCTATCCATCAAGACACAAGCCTTCCCTATCTATCTTCCAGGGTGCTCCCAGATGGCTCCCCCAGCTTCACTGGCTGCATACTGCTCTCCTTCCCCAGTGGCTTCTTACTGGCTTCCCTCTTCCTCAGCTGGTTTACTACTGCTTTTCCTAGCTCCCCTGCTGGTCCATCTTCCAGCTTACTAAACAGAAGTGACAGGAGCCCTTCTTGGTGGCTGTTTATACTCAGAGGAAAGCATCAGCCTTCATCTACATCTCCTGGGAATGTTCCTTCCATATGTGGCCCAGAGGCATTGATGGGAACTGAAGGTGGCAGCTCAGTTTTATTTTGAAATCATCCCACTGCCAGAAAGAAATGAGTGCCTGGTGGGACCACATTGATTTAGACAAGAATGGGGATTGGTGGGGAGGAAGACTTCACTAGTATTAAGATGTTAAACCAAGGTTATTTAAAAACACATCATTTCCCATTTAAGCCAGGGAAAACTATGGAAAAATTCATAAGGCAGTTTCACACCATGGGTTATGAGGTTGGTTTATTTAACTAATCACAGTTTCTATAAAACCAAGATCTACATTAAAAGTGAAGTTAAGCTCTGGTGAAGGTATTCCAGCAGCATGGAAAAAACCGGGAGTGCTGAGGCTTATCCATATACTTGTAAAGGTGGCCAATGCTTTCAGTGTAGTCTGAACCTTGTTTTCACAATTCTGTGACTGAACATCCCCTTCCTTCATTCTATTTCCCCCTTTTTCGTCCTGTGGCTTGTTAACATTGGTTTCAACAATCTCACCATTTTCACTGTTGTGTCCAGTTGACCTCTTAATTCATGGTCTATACTTAAATTCTATTCAGGGTTTCTATGTTAAGTTTCTTTTAATACTACACATACATAAAATAGAAGTTTAGAGGTATATTTGGCCTGCCATTCCATTTGTTTCAAAAATCAAGGATATGTAGTGGTTACGTTTTAGATCTGTATTCCATTTTACACTTTTGTATAAAATACATACTGTTATCTTTATGGAATCGGCATATTTTTAGAAATGGGTTAATTATCCTAACACTTGTGGATTTTTTTTTTAAAGAAGGATGCATCTAAAGGAGCAAAGCAACTTCCTCCAAACACTGTACAAGATGAACCTCTGCTTCGGGAGAATCCCCATCGCTTTGTCATCTTTCCCATTCAGTTCCATGACATCTGGCAAATGTACAAGAAGGCAGAAGCATCCTTTTGGACAGCTGAAGAGGTAAGGTGCTTATGCAGCTTGGGTATACAGAAGGAGGAGACTAATGGGCACAAATGGGCAGTAATTTTTGGTATGCATTCCCAATCGTTTGTGACATCACTATGTTCTCATGGGCTGCTTTGTGTATTTAGGTGGATCTCTCCAAAGACCTTCAGCACTGGGAAGCCTTAAAGCCTGAAGAGAAGTATTTCATTTCACATATCTTGGCATTCTTTGCTGCAAGTGATGGCATTGTCAATGAAAATTTGGTAAGCATGCAGAATAGCTAATGGGCTCCTTTATAATTCAAGGGTGCTTAGTACCATGTGTTGCCCTCTTCCACTGCCATCAGACTCTTTCAAACTGTAGATGGCCTACTGACTAGTTATTTTTAGTATCTACATCAGCAACATGAATAAGGAGTTTTGTACCATCTTGTCTAATCTGAATAGTACTCCTGAACAGTTAAGTGTCATTCCTTACAAGAATATCAGATCACTTAAAATTGACTTGCAAGCTAAACAAAGTTATCATCTTTCTCAACCTTAACTGTATCGATCAGGGGCAGTTTACACATTGTAACCACTACATGTCTGTCATTAATAGCTACTGCACAGTAAGCTGCCTCTATGGAGTGGTTCACAACATGAATACAGGGGTTCATTCCATGCTCACACAATTCTTTGGCATTCAGTTCTGTAGGCCACAAATAGGAAATAATGGCTGCAGCAATTTAAGTTTTTTTTCTTTTTTTTTTTTTTTTTGTGGACTGTCACTGGGTGTTCCATGTAAAATCCAATTGGTTCCTTGAAACTTAGAAATGCAAGGAACCTTCAGATAGCTGCAGATCAGACTGCAGCATGAAACTAGAAAAAATTCAAACTCAAAACCTCTGGGAATCAATGATTAATGACAGCCTCAGCTCTGTGAGGAGATATAATTTAGGATTTTTCATCGCTCTCTGAGACACTTTCAGTGATGTACTGCAATGCAAATAAGGCGGGGGATGTTATAAATTAATTTCATTCTCAGCCTCTGCTTTTATTCATTGTGTTTGTATAGCATACCTTTTCTACTGTCTCATCCAGTTTTATTTGCTGTTGCTTCTGTGCCTTTCAAGGTGCAAATTCTAGTCTTGCCAATTTCGTCTGAATAGTGTATCTGGAATCACAAGTGCCATGCCACTTAGGCTCTTCATAAAAGATCCAGAATAATTGCAGTGGGTATGTGCAATATTCCCACAAATAGTCAGATTGCCAGGAGGCAGCTGCCCACAGAGCATCTGTTTAAGATGGGAGTTCTGCTTGGCTGGAAATACTGGCAGAATGAAGGCATCTGTTGTAGAGCCTGGCAAGTGGGCAGGTCTAGGCAGCAAACAACTGATTCAAACACTAAATTTGATCATTAGATGATATATTATCAAGTGATGGACTACATGTATGAATGAGCCATAATGGGAATAATATAGACAGGAATTTTTGCCTCTTGCATACCCTGAAAAGATTGGGGCCACATCGGATTTTACTTGGCTGGGTGGTGATTCCCTCTCCCAGTTCTTCAGACAAGCGCTTTTAAGATGTGAAAGAGTTTGAATTGCTCATCTATGGATATAGACAGACTATTTGGATAATAAATATCGAGTTTCAACACCAGTTATTTTGGCAAACAGAAAGCCTGATACAGCTATATGAATGTTCTTATTAATTTTCTGTATAGGTGCCTGATGGTATTCAGATAGAAATATTACTGTAATAAACAGATGAATGAGCCTTATGTTTCTGCATGTAGTAGAGTCAAACCTTTTAGCAAAAGTAATACTCTGCTTCTGCCTTTCGCTTATATGGCATGGACTTTTGCAGCACTGGGAAGACATTAAGAAATATACAATGTTTTGTACATGTATGTCTGCAAGTGGTGGAAGGTAGCTATAAAGACAAGTGCAGCCCCAAAGCAAATATGTAGGATTGCCTTAAAATGGGAGCTATTGTTTGTAACTTAAATATCTTTATGTCCTCTAGGTGGAGCGATTCAGCCAAGAAGTACAGGTTACAGAGGCTCGCTGTTTCTATGGTTTCCAGATTGCCATGGAAAACATCCACTCAGAAATGTATAGTTTACTTATTGATACTTATATTAAAGACCCTAAAGAAAGGTTAGTACTATTTTGAGAAATATTATGTTCTATGCTAAAATATTTATTGAATATATGCAAATAGTTCAAGTGCTAACATGTTAGCTTTTGGCTTTTCATTGTCTTTGAGATTTCTGCATGATTTCAAACCATAGCTTACATTTTCAGAGAGCTGAGGCTGAGATTTTTAGATATCCAACATTACAGAAGGTTACTGTGTAAAATATGCCAAAACTTTCATGCATGTAGTTTTCAGTGCAGTTGCTGTGACATTTTAATCTTACGAGACTGGAGCAGAACAACCTGAATTTGGACATATAGTCTAAATTGATTTTCTTCAGTTAGGCCAGTGTGTTGTGGCAGTGAGGGTGCTGGACCAGGACTCTGGAGCTTCAAGTTCTAGTCCCCACTCAGCCATGGAGCTCACTGGGTAACTTTGGACCTGTCACTCCTTAGCCCAACTAACCTCACAGGGTTGTGGGGACACAATGCAGCCATGTAAGCCACCTTGGGGTCCTCAGCAGAGGAAAACGGGCTGGATGTAAATGCAGTGTCTTCATCATAGTCATGGGTCCCAATCTGTACTAAACTATGATGTTACCTGTTAACCTAATCTACCTTACAGGTTTGCTTGGAAGCGGTAGGATACAAACACAATAACTTCGATGGCCATTGTTAGTAGAGTTAGTTGTATACTTAGCATTGTTGTATTCTTCTAGGGAATTTCTGTTCAATGCCATTGAAACCCTTCCTTGCGTGAAAAAGAAAGCTGACTGGGCCATGCGTTGGATTGGGGACAAACAAGCCACTTACGGTAAGTGTTACTATACTCCTCCCTCTTGTCCAGCACGTATTATATACAGCAGAACCTCCATATCTGCAGGGATAAGTTCCAAGCCCCTCAGCTGAATAGCTGAAACCATGGATCGTAGCAAACATTTCACTGTACATGCTGCACATACCTGTGATGAAGTTTAATTCACAAGTTAGGCACAATAAGACATTGTACTGCTAGCCTCAAACTCCAGCTGGTAACCTGTCCACTATTCCACTGCTTCCCAATCTCCACCTGTCAGCCCTGACCGAGCCTCAACTCGTCCCTTTTCTCCTGCTCCCATTACCTCTCTTCCTGGACACCTACTGCCCCACACGGGAACTGCTACTGCTCGGTCCCTCATCCCCATCCGCCCGACGCATATGCCAAGAGTGGCCAAACCAAGGCTCACAAGGCACATGTAACTGAGTCTGTTTTGTTTGCTGCCTGCAGGCACCTACTTGCCGCTCTCAAACAGCTGACATTACCATTCCAGTCAACTGCAGTTAAGCAGGCATGTGGTTGCGGAATCAGCAGAGACATACAGCAGCTCTGCTGTATTTCTGTTCCACCATTTTGTCTTCACAAACCAGTTGAAGGGTTAGGCTGAGAGCCTGTGACTGGTGGGAAGATACCTAGTGACCTCTGTGGCCACTGTTCTCCCAGAGTTCTCCCAAGTCCCGGTCCAGTAGTCTAACCACTATACCACACTGGTTCTTGAGCAGTTTAATGAGGAAATTAACAATGAACTCTCCCATCAGGAGAACGAGTGGTAGCCTTTGCTGCAGTGGAAGGGATCTTCTTTTCTGGATCTTTTGCATCTATATTTTGGCTGAAGAAACGAGGCTTAATGCCTGGACTTACCTTTTCCAATGAATTGATCAGTAGAGATGAGGTAAGATTTAAGAATGTTTGTGTTCCTCATAGTCATGTGCATCCAAATACTTCAACTCACACAAGTTAGACGGGGGGGGGGGGTGGCGGTCAATGAAATTGTGTGTCCTATGAACTGTAGCTCTGCTCTGTATCTTCATCTGTTCTGAGGGTTCCTTCAGGCCTTGGGAGCATTTTCACACAGGCAGCCATAATAGCCAAAACTCTGAGCAGAATGCATCAGTTCATATGGAACCCATGTAAAAATCCATTGTAGTTACTTTACTACTTGAGTGTCAAAGTTTTATTATTTGGTGGTGGTGATGATAATAGTAGAACTTGGCCAAGTTGTTTCCTGAAATAGTTTCCAATTATTTTTTTCCAGGGCTTGCACTGTGATTTTGCTTGTCTAATGTTCAAACACTTGGTACATAAACCTTCAGAGGAAAGAGTGAAACAGATCATCACTAATGCTGTCAGGATAGAACAGGTAATTGGCAATCCTTTCTGGTGGTGGTGGTAAAAAGTGCCTGCATCAAAGCAGGAGAAGCTTAAAACTTAGTAGGGCATTAAATTGTCTAGATGGCGCAGTATTTGCATACTAAGGAACTTTGTTCACTATGCAGGAATTCTTGACGGAAGCATTGCCGGTAAACCTAATTGGCATGAATTGCACTTTAATGAAGCAGTATATTGAGTTTGTAGCAGACAGACTGATACTGGAACTAGGTTTTAAAAAGGTAAGTTCTCTGAATGTGCCTCTTAAGGAATGCAATATAATTTGTTTACATTTAGACCTTTTTCACATCTAAGTGCTTTTTGTCTCATTAGTGGAATTTCACAATTAAGCACAACACTAAAATGCTGCAGTGCAGCTTGCTTATTTTGATTTATGTTCTGCCAAAATGGGGATGAGTGTTAGTCAAAAGTATAGGGAGGGCACAAAATTAAGAGGTCTCTCCTGTTTTCTGTTCCTTAAGTTCATTGGTCTATGAAGAGATATAAAATGCTTAAGTTCAGGATGGAGAATTTTATATGTATTTTAAAAAAAATAAAAAAAAGAACATATCTATTAAGCAATCCTGGGAGCATACACTTTTGCTTTAAAAGTGACTTGTAGAATTAGACCTAATGCCTGCTTATGCTAAGAGGGCTTGTTTGTTTTGCAAGACATCTAGCAGCGATCTATAAGCAAATATACCAATTCTTCCTGTTGCCTGCGGAGTAATTAAGAGTCAGGTCATAGATATCAGGTTACAATATAACAGGTTACAACTATATATATTATACAATATACAATATAGAAATATGGGACACAGTAAAATGAAAAAATAAAGAAAATCATCTTAAAGAATTGGTTTTTGCTTGGAACTGAGGCTGGAGAATTGGGTACAGAAGCAGATAATAGGGGAGAATGATTGTATGGAGCATCCCCTCCCCCCAGATCTTCCATGCTTGCTTCAGGGAATTATCTGGAGAGTGCCAAGTGGGGAATGCAGGAACAGAATGAACAAAACAAATCTGGGTGTCTTGGGACATGATGGAGGTAAATGTAGCCATACCACCTGCTGCCTTCCTGGTGATCTTCATGCTACAACATCAGCATAGCTGGATGAACCAATTTGGGGTTGTTCGATGGTACAAGTGAAATAGAAGTGTATATGCTGTGTATCTTGGCAATAAAACTCATGCTGCCAACTCCCATTTCTTTCAGATATTCAGAGCTGAGAATCCGTTTGACTTCATGGAGAATATCTCACTAGAAGGCAAAACTAACTTCTTTGAAAAGCGTGTTGGCGAATATCAGAGGATGGGAGTGATGTCAAAGCCCACAGATAACTCTTTCACCTTAGACGCAGACTTCTAAATGGGGCAAGACTGATCTCAGCTAGCCTGAAATGGCTAGCAGTTGGTTTCGTTATCCTCAAATTATTGTTCTGATGCTGTGTGGTGGTACTTTAACAACATTCACGTAGCTAAAAGGGGCGAAATGGTTTTCAGCACTAGTAAATGAATTTGTATAATACATGAGCTTCTCACATTTTCAGATGGGGACCAGTGCTGGAAGACGCGTGTTCTGTTATCTGGTAATAGGCTACCAGTAGTTGTCCACAGCAAAACAAGTAGTGTGGGATAAGCTGTAGAAGGCTGGTCCAACCTGGGGCCCTCCAGATGTTTTGGATTAGAACCACCACCATCCCTCACCATAGACTATACTCAGGCGGGAGCTAGTGGCAGTTGTAATCTAGAACATATGCTAGGCTGGGGAAGACTGCTCCGTAGAACACTGCAGATTTTCATGTCCTTGCATGGGCTGCAGAAGCTATATAACCACGTTGCCTCTTAACAGGTTTGAAGCCTTTGATGTTTTAATAGTTTGTACATAAACATGGCACTTTAAAAGTCTGGCCTGTAATTCTTGAAAAAGGCTGGTGACGTGAGTTTAGAATAAACTCTTTTAGACTGCATTACATCTTTCTCTATTATGCTTTATTTTATCTGCATGTAAATTAAAATGCTGAGGTGCTAAAATGAAGACTTGGATATGTACGGCTTCTGTACAAAGTCTATTCACATACTTTGTCAGAAGTAACACTTGAATAAAACCAGTTTTCAAACTGATGGATCAAAATATTGTGAAATTGTAACTTTTGCCCCCAGCCTCTTCCCAACCTTTTTATTCAAGGGTTTCTTCGGTGAATAATTCCTCTTAAGCCCCTTCTGAATGGCCAGTATTTCAAGATACAACACGAAGTGTCTGCAGCAGAGGATAAGATTTGTGAATGTGGAAAATCCAGATTCAAGAATTAAAGCAGGCATGAAGTGCAGTTGGGGAAACTCAGGGCTATGTGGGAAAGTTCAGACGTGTTTTTGGTCACCTTGGGAAGCAGGGAGACTTGTCTGTGTATGAGAAATAGTACCTGTAGGGTGGACTTCAGGCAACAGCATTGGGTGACTTCCTTGTCTCCTGCCCACACCAATTGAACTGTGGGGTTCTGCCAGAGAACCATGTGTCTATGAAGCTGCTGGGAGTGGTCATTAAGGGATTTGAAGCCAAGTGCCCTTCATATACTGTCAGCTCTGCCTTCCTATGACAACTGAACCAGGAGAGGCTAGGCAAGTCCTAGATCGGTGTCTGGAGCCAGTGATGGGCTGGATGAGGGGCAACGAACTAAAAGTAAATCCAGGCAAGATGGGCCCCCTATGAGAGAGTGGTTCAGAAGTCCACGAGATGGGATGGAATTGCACTCATTTATGGAGAAGCAAGTTCGTTGCTAGAGGGTACTCCTAGGTCAAGCTTGAAGTGCCTTTTATCAGCATCAGCTTGCCAGCTACAGCCTTTACTGAACAGCCTGGCTGCAGTGTTAGATACTGAAGTAAACTTAAGACTAGGTCAGTGCGGTGTATTCTGTGTGAGGTGTTTTAAGACTGGGCTGGGAGCAGAATGCAACAACTTGGCTGTTGAGGTATCCCTTTTTTGCACACAACTCCTTTCCCATGGGAAATACACTGGCTATTTGCTACTGGTCAGATTCAAGGCTTTTGGAAATAATGTATCAAGCACTAAACAGCCTGGGCCCTGGAAGAAGCAGCAGAGGATGGGCAGTCCCAAAGAGCAGGTACCAGGCATAACTGAGGTGAACAAGGTTGTAGAAAACTTAAGAAGAGGGTGTTTTAGGTGAAATGTGTCCCTTTCAGGGGAAAGTGTATTTTCTACTAGGAACACAAATTTGCAAGGAAATGTCAAGTTAGTAGTGCATGTCTTCCCAGGTATTGCCCTGTACTTATCTCCCAACTTGCCTGAAAATGACCAGTTTCCTAGTCCCTGGCAAAAGCACTCCAGCCTGCTGCTGCTGCTACCACCACGGTCAACCTGGGAGTGCTGCTTTCAGGGCAATGAGCAAAATTGGCTTTGTGCCGCATGTCGCAGGGCCAGAAAGTTCAATTTTCTCTTCAGAGCAGAGGACCTTTCTGCTTTCCCTCTCACATGCCTTCCTTCAAACTCCAAAATGGGCTTTGATAAGGATTTGTTTCAGCACTGGCTTCTTTCTTGCCACACTTGCATAAATCCAGCTTTGTAGAGCATCCGGATGATCGTCCCATGGGTGTTTCTTGTATCTCACCAGTAGATCACTCCAGCTCCTTCATAGTTGCTGCTCTGACGATCTGACGATGTGGGCCTGGTCCAGCCAAGGCATCTCTTTAGGGTCAAGGATACTTGGGGAGATAGAAAACCACCAATTCAAAGATTAATATACAGTGCATTGTATACAATGAAATATGGATGCAAAATATAAACAAAATAAGCCTTACATTCTCCTGTTTCACAAGCTGAAGGCCATGAGGCCTTGGAATGCTTTCAAGAAGCTGTTAGATTTTGGACACTAGCAAAGTTTACTTAATCTGTTGAACCCCTATAACCACCATACCTCCAGAAAAGCCTGAAGAATACAAGCCTCACCCAGTCACTGAGTTTTGGTGGATAGCCTTCTCTAGGCAGGGCTGCAGTTGAGCCAAATCCTTTCTATTTTGTAATAATGGGTGTAATGGTGCTCCAGCCTACAGGGATTGTTTATAGTTTGGGTTAAAAAACCCCTGCTTGGCAGAACTGCACAACTTTATGTTGGAGTTGTTTTAATAATCCCTTGTTTTCTAAGATGTCTGTTACGATACACTCTCCAGTGTGGTTCCCAGAAACAGATGTATTTAATCTGAAATAATTTGGCACAGGAATTGCACACAGGAGGACTCCGTGCATCTATTTGCTGTACTCTGGAGGCAGTGGGTGGCACCAGAGCTTATCTAGGCATGTCATAGCAAGAGGACATCCTGTGGTGTGGGAAAGGGAAGAGATGCCATAGCGGGCAGGGGAGTAATGCAGCGCTGCCATGTCCCTTCTCAGAGCTTGCACAGTGATAGTAATTTCTGCTAAAAAAGTGTGTGTGTGGAAGGGTGGGGGATAATGCTATTTGTGTGCAGAAGCTGGTGCCAGCAGCAATAAAAACTATTTTACAGGTTTATTTGAAATCGGCTTTCAACAGTTTAAGGAAACTGTTTCCCTAGTTACACTGGTGTTAAAGCTGTTACAGACTTGTACAAGAGTTCCATTTGCACTTCTGTGAATGTCTTTCAAAAATTGTAATATAGCATTGAGCAGGGCATTCAGATTCTTATGTCCATGGGCTAGCTGAATTGGCATGCACTCAAGATCCTGCCAAACAGGATTACTTTTTAGAATAATTTGTATGAAAAAAAGCTTTCGCTTGTCAAAATGAAATCTCTCTTACGTGATTGATAGACATGCCTGTTTCATTTTGAAGAGAGGTTTTTAATCTAGCATACTTTAGAAAAGGGTTTTTTAATGGAAGGCACAGTAAATTCAAAGATAATGTGTAAAATAATAAAGTGGTTAGATATCATTTGGCTTTTGTTGTTAGATATGTCAGCTGATTTAAATATGCATTAGATTGGCTTAGCCATTCTGAAAGCTTCACCTGTCTTCACAGCAATGTATTCTATATAATTATGAATAGGCAGAATTTCTCTGAAAGAGATGGATTGAGAGAAACACATACACAGTTTCTACATTGCATATCTTTATTTTATGATAAAAATATCTGTGAGATATATATTTCATTATTTTGCCTTTCCTCCAAAACAAACACTTATCAAATATTTTCAGATTTATTTGTGCGTGGCCTATCATCCCTTACTTTAATTGCACTCACTCTGGACATTTGTGCTTCTTGTCAGACTCTTAAAAATCTGTTGTTGTTTTGTTGTTGTTGTGGCAACTGATGGATCATGTCAAGAGGCTGGCTTTACTCCAAGTGAACCATTGTGAGAGGCATTCCCTTCCTGTGGCTCTGGCATCTTCAAGCTGGCATTGCTCATCCCAGAAGCCAACCCAATCCATGATCCTATGAGCCGGAAAGGACATGGAAGCAAACTGCCACCATCAACATCTCACCAAATGATTACTAAGTATGAAAAACCGCCTTTCTCTCATTACTTGTCTTAAATGTAGTTCTTCGTCGTGGCCTCTGTGCATCACACATATGGGTGCTGCGCCTGCACAGTGCCTTTGGCCAGAAGATTGAAAGCTAACGGTTTTTGGTGGGAAAGCTCCGCTCCCCCTCCCCCTATAGCCTGTAAAGAGCAGAACGTCTGCCATTTTGTTCAGTCTTTGCGACCGCCGTTTGCTGTGCCTCATGCTGCTTTCGCTCTCGCTCTGACCGTTGCTCGTCCTGTTTTTCAATCGTTCTTCTCTCCAAGTTTAATAGCCCTGTTCAGTAGTTTAGTAGTTCTTGTTCCTTCCTCGTTATTATCACCTCCTAGTAGTTCTCTGTTTTCTGTCGTTCTCACTCTATCTTCTTTAAAAAAACAAAACAAAAAAACCAAAAATATATTTTACCCTCTGCACTATCTTCTCTTTTTCCTCTTCTCACGATGGCGCAGTAAGCGGCTTTCCACAAGTGCACGGAATGCGGGTCTAAGACGTCTCCTGCAGACCTGCATGACCTATGCCTCCTCTGCTTGGGGGAAGGGCATAGGACTGACAAATGTTCTCACTGCCTGGCCTTCTCTAAGCAGGCCAGGAAAAATCGTGAGAACTGCCTACGGAGGCTCTTGTGGGATCGGGCTCTCCTTCAGTCTGACCCACTAGTGACTGCTCTGAAGCCTGGCTCTTCCACTGTGGTTCCGCCCTCACACCCTTCGGATGAAGGCGCGTCTACTATGGGCGCTCGGCCTGCTTCTCCTAAGAAGAAACATGAGAAGCGTAAGCATGCCGGTACTGACAAACCGGCCGACCACAAGAAAGCCAGGAAGGATAAGGCTCTGAAGCCGCCTAAGAAATCCAAGGATCCGGAGCGTCCTAGGCACCGAGATTTGGGCTCGACGGCCCCTTCGGTACCGACGGCAGTCACCGTACCGACTCCACCTGACCCGGTGCTTCAGGCGGCTATGAGGGTTACCCCCCAAAGGTCCCCTCGCCATGTGGCTGAGCTTCCTGCAGAGCCTCTCCCTACTCTACCAAGGGAGTCAATCTCTGATGGGGAAATCCGGGATTCTCCCCCTAGGGCTAGGTCCCCCACACCTATGCCCACAGCCACATTGAAGGTGGATGCGGAAATGTCCCTGCCCAGGAGCTGCAGGAGTCACTCCTTGGAACGCCGATCAGAGGGTTGGTACCACCCCTACTACCACGCATGGGATGACCCGCGTTCTGTTGGACACTATCCAGCTCCAACGGGTCGATCTTCTCCACCATCTCCTCGTGACCGTACACTGTCTTTGGGCCCGGGCCCGAGGCGTGCGTCCCCGGTACCACCTAGGGAGGAGAGTAGTCGATCCTTCTCTCCGGCGGAGTCCTCATCATCGGCCCCTCCGTACTATGGTGTTGAATCCGACGATTTGGAGGTTGATTCCACCTCCCCGGATGCCGCTGTGACCTCCCAGGGCCCTGTGTCACCCGACGAATCTAATATCTCCTTTGCAGAGTTGATGTCGTGCCTGGTCCAGTCTCTTGAGATCGACACCATGCAGCGTCCGGGACCCAGAACGGATAAGTTCTACGACGTAGACCGCGGGGAGCAATCTACGTCTATTGTGCTGCTGCTGATTACCACC